TTAGACTGCTGTACCACTGTGCCAGCCACATGAAAATAAATAATAATAATAAAAAAAACCACTTTTCACTCATAATAAACCTAGCTCTGAACTCGAACCTGGCTCTCGTTACAGAAGTCTCTGCCCCTCAACCTGAGAGAGAGAGAGAGAGAGAGAGAGAGAGAGAGAGAGAGAGACAAGAAAAGAAAAGAAAAAATTTAGAGGCTGACATGGTAGCATACCAAGCTAATCCTCTACCTGCAGTGTTGATATCCCATATGGGTGCCAGTTTTATCTGGCTGCTCCATTTCCAATCAAGATCCCTGTATATAGCCTTGGAAAGCAATGAAGAATGGCTATTTTTAAAGATTTATTTATTATTTGAAAGGCAAAGTTACAGAGAGAAGGACACACACACACATCTTCCATGCACTGGTTCACTCCCGCAAATGGCTGCAACAGCTGAGTTGAGCCAATCCAAAACCAGGAACTTTTCCCAGGTCTCCCACGTGGGTGTGGGGATCTAAAGACTTGGGCCATTCTCTGCTGCCTTCCCACGCCATAAGCAGAGATCTGGATTAGAAGCAGAACATGGGACATGAACTGACACCCATATGGAATACCAGCACTGCAGGCGGAGAGTCAGCCTTCTATATCATGGTTCTGGCCCTGCCCTCAGCCACTTTGGGAAACCTGATTGCAGGTAGAAGCTCTTGCCCTCACTGTTGGCAATGACCCTTGATAATGCTCCAAACACAATCCCTGATCTGATACCCTACCCTGCAGAATCCATAGGAACCCACAATACAACACTGTGCATGAACCTCAGTCTTGATCTTTTACAGGAAATCCTTGGCAGGGACCGTAGTCCTAATATTTTGCCTTAAGCCTTGACCTCATCATATACAGGGCCCTATGGCCTCACCACTCGCAGCACTTTCTGCCCAGCATTCAGGCTGCACAAGACTACTATCCTGCCACTCCACAGGAAGCCTGGCTTCTCGACTATACCTGGATCTCCACAGAAATCCTTTATTCCTTTACTGAAATGGTTGATCTGGTCTTTTATTGGAACCCCTGACCCTCCTCAGGAAATACTTCCCCTGAGTCAGTGTGGAAAGCGATCATGGCATTCTCTGTAACAGCCTTGCCCCTACAGCTGCATCCTCACCCTGCACAGAAGAACCATTCTTACTCAATGGGAGAAACACTAATCTGACTCGGCAAGAACCGCTCTCCTAACCCTGCCCAGGACTACCCCTCAGTGACTTTCAGCCAGAGCCTAGGCTCCAGGTGGGAGCAGATAAACCCTACCCTTACACCTGGCAACAAACTGACTTGCCTCTTTAGAGAAACCCACATAAACAGTGGGAAATACCTGTGTGATAGAGGACTCTGTTCTGCTCTTGTTAAATCACCTATCATCGCACTCCCCATGAACACCTGTCAGGAATCTGTGCACCAATCCCTGACCTCACTGCTAATGGGATTACCTGATTTCTGTCTCCAGGTACATTTCTCTGATCCTATACAAAGTTGATTGGTCTGAAGAATGGGAATCAGGGTAGGGAGCAGGCCTGGTGGGGGTTATTGGGAGTCACCAGACTAGGCTGCAGCTCCCACTGGTTTGCGTGAGGGCCAAGTATGAAGTAGGCAGGATTGGGCTGGACTGCAACACCCACTGATTCGTGTGGAAGACAGGGCTGGCAACAGAACTGACCCAGCAATTGCGATGACAAGCATGTACATAAGCTGATTGGGTCAACAGACTGTGCCAGACCCTGTACTGGCAAGCACACACAAGAATCAGGTCTGGGATCACCTGAGACGAAGTTTTCTGGGGATCCCTCCAACTGAACTGCTGATCTCAGAACCCCAACCATGAAAAGACTACGTCAGCCAGTGGATTCTGAAGACATTTCATCGTGCTTGGAAGGGGGAGATTGGCAGCAATTCAGAACTGTTGAACTATCAAAACTGCTTAAGCAGGACCCTCAGAGCATGCCCCACATCAGGGACCTGGGATGGGAGGCTGGGTGGGGCTTCTCCCTTTAACTCTCCCCTTACCACTGATACAGAAAAGGGGAGGGGAGGGGAGGGAAAAAAGAAGTATGTGTTCAGCATACTCCATCCAAGAACACTTGCTTGATCCAGTAGAGTAACATCAGAAGTTACCTGGCCTGGTCCACCACTCACTGGACTCATGCCGCACACAAAAGTAATACCTCTGCCTCTGGGGAAAGAGAGAGAGAGAGAGTTAGTTCTCACTTTGTAGGAGTGTCCTGGGCAGATTAGAGTAAAAAAGAAAAAGCGCCAAGGATTTACACACTAGGACAGGGATCTTCCGAATCAAAATCAGGGCTGTTCTTACGTTCCTTTTTTTTTTTTTTAAAGATTTATTTATTTTTGGGTCCCAGCAGGCAGCCTAGCACCGGGATCACATATGGGCACTGGTTTGTGTCCTGGCAGCCCCTGCTTCCTTTACTTGTGGCCTGGGAAAGCAGTTGAGGACGGCCCAAAGCCTTGGGACCCTGTACGCTTGTTAGTTTCTGATCGGATGGGCTCAACTCCGGTCACTGCACTCCACAAGCCATTCACTCCACAAGTGGCTGCAAGTGGGGCTCCCTTTGTGGGTGCAGTACCCATATGGGGTCCCTGGTGTGCGCCGAGCTCTGTTTTTACATTCTTAAGATTTTATTATTATTATTATTAGATATACAGAGAGGAAGATCTTCCATCCACTGATTCACTCCCCAAGCAGGGGGCAACAGCTGGATGGGAAGAACAACGGCCGAATGGGAAGCAGGACTGTCGGGATTAGAACCGGCGCCCATACGGGATCCCAGCGCGTTCCAAGCGCGTTCCAGGCGAGGACTTTAGCTGCTAGGCCACCTGTGTCAGGCCGTGTTTTTACATTCTTAGAGATTTTTAATTTATTTTTATTGGCAAGTCAGATATACAGAGAAGAGGAGAGACATATCTTCTTCCAACTCATGGTTCACTCCCTAAGTGAATGCAACAGCCAGAGCTGAGCCAATCCGAAGCCAGGAGCCAGGAGCCAGGAGCTTCTTCCAGGTCTCCCACATGGGTACAGGGTCCCAAGGCTTTGGGCCATCCTCGACTGCTCTCCCAGGTCACAAGCAGGGAGCTGGATGGGAAGTGGAGCTGCCAGGATTAGAACCGGCACCTATATGGGATCCTGAGCATGCAAGGTGAGGACATCAGCTGCCAGGCCACCGCGCCGGGCCCTGTTTTTACATTCTTAAAGAGCTGTTTTCAAAATAGAAGAGAAGGAAAAATACCACAGGTACCTCTCTGACTACAGAAAACGTGGACTTTGACCCTTCCCAAGACTAGTCTACTGTTTGGCAGGCAGGCAAGCAACATAACCTCAGAATATTCCTCAGCGTTTACTACCCTGTTTCCTTTGGTGTGTCTGAAGGTTTAGAAATTTTAAGATATTCCACCTGTGACCCCTGTGACCCTCCAGTGCTGAACCTAGACATGTCGGGGCAGGCAAAATAATGATAACAAGGCTACTAGATCTTGCTCAGGGGAGGAGGGGGAAATTTTTTTTTTGAGGAAGATCAGAGGCCCCACTACTGGGCGTCGGGGCTGTCAATCTGTTTGTTACTCAGCGATGCTGAACACCCAGAGCGCTTATCTCTTTGGCCCCAGCCTACAGCCTGGTAGGAAATGGTGGAGAACCAGGGAGGGAGATTAGGGCAAACCGGCCTCCAGCGGGGTTATTTAGGCACTACTCAGGGTGGAAGTTGCAAAGGTGGTGGAGTGGAGTGGGGTGGGGTGGGAAGGGGCGCGGACACAGGCACAAGTCCTTAGAGCACAAAGTTACTAGCCCGAGGGTGCAGAAAGGGAGTGTTGGCGTTCGCAGCCGCTTTTAGGAGGACCCAGGCGCTATTATTTATCACCATCATATTCCAGATCAGCAAACCGAACTGAGTCGTTTAGTAACTCGCTCAAAGTCACATGGCCGAGTCTCATAACCTCAGTGGTCTTACTGGCCTCAACAATGGGAACTACATCACTCAAACTACAAAAAAATCGTGCTTCTAACAATTCATGTTGCATCCCTAGTTGTCGTTGACTGTTTCACTAAGACTGTTGTCAGAACCCATTTCATCGCAGGCTATTCATAGCTAACATTCGCCGTCTCCTATGTACCACCGCGGCAAATATTAACGGAGAAAAGCCACCCGCAACATTTCTCGCCTTCACCTCTACTGCTCCAGCTGACCCGCGCACGCCAGCCTGTGTGCTACGTCATCATCGCGCGCTGCGTAACAAACGCGGGAAGGAGACAAAAAGCCTGCTCCCAGCGCCCCGCGTTCAGTCCCTTGCTCTCCGGATCAGCGCACGGTTGGGGTGGGTCCGGAGAGCGCCTAAAGCGGAGAGAAACCGAAGGGTAGCTTCCATAACAGCCGGGGCGAAGGGGGGCAGGGGGGGCAGTAGCTGAGGGAGGGAACCCTCGAGTCAGAACGCCTCCTCAGAACTACGTCGCGCGCTTTGTGCGTAGGCGTTGTAGTTTCTCGCGGCAGCCAGTAGGCTTGAGCTCGCGAGACGCGCGCTACCTCGCGAGGCGTACCGCCCTGAGGCGACGCTCTTAAACGGTGGGCAGGACGTGGGCGGGTAATAGAACGAGCCGGGCCAATGGAAGCTAGAAGCCTCGGCCCCCGCGGCCCGTCAGGGCGTCGGGAAGTTGGCCGCGGCCGCAGTGGGCGGAGTTCGAGTAGTGGGCCGCGCCTAGACAGCGGCCCTGGAAGAATTGGCCGACGTCGACGGGCAGGGCGGGAAGTAGGCGGGGGCCGGCCGCGGGCGGTTCGGGACTGGTTGAGGGCGGCTTGGCGAAACGTTAGGGGTAGGATCTGAGGCGGGGAGGTGGGGCCGTGTGGAAAGGACGGGGCTGCGAGGAGCCGGAGCTTGTGGCAGCGCTAAGGGGCGGGATCTGGGCGAGTGGATGGTACCGGTCCGGCCCGATAAGGGGTGGAGTTAAGTCCTCGTGAAGGGTGGAGTCGAGCGCGGATTTGGGGCTGGCTGAGAGAAAGGGTGGGTGATTCTCCCGGGCGATAGGCCGGAAAGGGCAGGTTTGTGAAGGGCCGGCCATCTGGGCGAGGTTTAGAGGCTTGAAAGGGTTCGGCGTGAGGCTGACTGGAGTAAAAGGGGGCGTTGATTGGCTGGCGAAGGGCAGGCCTCGCATCGCCCGGAGCTGAGGGGTTACTGGCGCCGTGAACGGTCGAGACTGACGAGAGGCAGAGTGGAGTTTAAGGGGGCGGATCTGGGGGCGCGGGCGGCACTCCGGTGGCGGGGACACCTCGGTGGCGGGAGAGGGTCCGGAGAGAGTTTCGAAGGCGGCGGGGATTGTGAAGGCGGCGGCGGGGGCGCCAGGGGGGCGGGGTCCTCGAGCACCGCAGCCACCTCACAGGCGCTCCCCGCTCTCCCGCCCCCAGGCCCGCGTCAGGGGCGAAATCTCCCCGACCATGACCTCCACTGGCCCGGAGCACAACATCACCAGGTCCCGAAGGATTAGACAGACCCCTCAGCCACCCCCTCATGACTCCAGCGGCACCCCGGTGAGGCCCCAGGGCTGCCTCTGAGGAGAGGGAGAGGGAGCAGTCATCCGTACCCTGGACTCTGACCCTTCTCTCTGATTGGCAGAAACGAAATGTTAAGAAGGGTGCTGTGCCTCGCTGCAGTCCTAATCTGCTGGAAATCAAGAAAAGAGGCAAAATGAAGAAACTCAGCCAGGCAGCGGAAGACTACCTGATTGCTGGGCTACAAGACCTGGTGAGAGGGGCCGGGCAGCGATTTTTGCCTCCTGTGACAACCCAAACCCCACCACCCTGGACAGTCTGGAATGTTCCTTCTGACTCAAGGGCCAAATAAATCTGTGTCTTTCTTTTTTTCCTTGCAGGATTTGGACTCCGATACCAGGATACCAACTGGCACCGGCTTAGTGTTTGATGAACAGCTAAACGAGTTCCACTGTCTCTGGGATGACAGGTGAGGTGGGGTTCTCTGGCCCGTCCCCAAACGGGTCAAATACACACACTTAGAGCTCCTTAGCCAGAACTACACCTTCTTTACACCAGACCGCAGAATGGAAGCAGATGACTTAGGGAGGCAGGGCTCAAATGCTAAAGAGTTCTCATTGCACCAGCATTCGTTGAGCGCCTGTTGTGTGCTAGCACTTTGCAGCAGGAATGAGCCAGTCAGGGTCCTGTCTCAGGAAGCTCATCAGTAAGGAAGAGAGTTGGCTGTTAAGCTGCCAAGAGCAGCATGAGGTATTTAACGACAAAAGTCTTAAGACTAGGGATTCAAGAGGGCTAAGTAGAGGACCCCATCCTTTTTCTTTCTTTTTTTTTTTTTTAAGATTTATTTATTTTGAGTCCAGCATGGTAACCTAATGGCTAAAGTCCTCACTTGCACATGACAGTCAATGATCCCATATGGGTGCCAGATCGTGTCCTGGCTGTTCCACTTCACCTCCAGCTCCCTGCTTGTGGCCTGGGAAAGCAGTCGAGGACGGCCCAAAGCCTTGAGACCCTGCACCCACGTAGGAGACCTAGAAGAAGCTCCTGGCTTCAGATCAGCTCAGCTCTCTCTGTTGCAGCCACTTGGGGAGCAAACCAGCGGGTGGAAGATCTTTCTCTCTGTGTCTCCTTCTCTTAGATATACGGAAAGGAGGAGAGACAGAGAGGAACATCTTGCATCCGCTGATTCACTCCCTAAATGGCTGCAATGGCTGGAGCTGAGCTGATCAGGAGCCAGGAGCTTCTTCCGGGTCTCCCACACGGGTGCAGGGCCCCACGGCTTTAGGCCGTCCTCGACTGCTTTCCCAGGCCACAAGCAGGTTGCTGGATGGGAAATGAAGCAGCTGGGACATGAACCAGTGCCCACATGGGATCCTCGTATGTGCAAGGCCAGCATTTAGTCAGCCATTGCATTGGGCCCAAGAAACCATCCTTGAGGAAGGGGCATTTGTGCTGAGTAGAAGGATCACAACTTCTATTCACTTTACTTTTCAAAAGAAGCAGTACATTCTTTTGATATAAGATATTTAGTACTTGACCTGCCCTTACCACCTCCACTGACATCATTGTGGGCACCCTCCTAGTCTTGCAGAAGCCTCCTCATTGGCCCTCTGCCTCCAGTGTCTCGCTTATTGTCTCTTCGCACAGAAGCATAACAACATACTTATGAGTTCAGGTTCTCTTTCTTTTTTTTTACATTTATTTACTTATGAGAAAGCTAGAATAGTTTTTAGGAAGGAAATGCAGAGAGAAAGATCTTCATTTGCTGGCTCAATCCAAATGGCCGCAGTGGCCAGAGCTGAAGCTTTGGGATTTCGGCGCTGCAAGAAGAGCATTTAGTCAGTTAAGCCATTGCAGCAGTCCTGAGGTTCTCTTTCTAAAAATATTCCAAGGAGAGACCATTGCCCTAGAAGTAAAGTCCAGATTCTTTCTTCTGGCCTCAACTTGCACGGGACTTAGCTGCGCATTACTTCTGTGACCTTATCAGCAAGTCCTCCCCCTCCAGCATTTCACTTCAGCGTCACTCAGCCATTTCTCACGTCACTCGTTCAGCCTGCTCGGTACCCTCTGGACTTGAGTCTTTCCTCTGGCTGAGCCTTCTTCTCTCCCAGCTCTCTTTCGCCTTTTAAGGAGACTTTCTCAAGGAAGATTCCAGTTGCCACAGCCCTACTCCTCACACTTGAGTTTAGATGACTTCCTAGCCTATGATGTTGTTTGTTAATTATTATTATGCTTTTATCTTTTAAAGATTTATTTATTTGGGACCCAATGTAATGGCTCAACTAACTAATTCTCCTCTTGCAGGTGCCAGGATTCCATCAGGGCACCAGTTCATGTCCTGGCAGCTCTACTTTCCATCCAGCTCCCTGCCTGTGACCTGGGAAAGCAGTCGAGGATGGCCCAAAGCCTTGGGACCTTACACCTGTGTGGAAGACCTGGAAGAGGTTCCTGCCTCCTGGCTTCGGATCAGCTCAGCTCCAGCTGTTACTGTCACCTGGGGAGTGAACCAGTGGCCAGAAGATCTTTCTCTCTCTCCTTCTCTCTAGAAATCTCTTTCCAACAAAATCAGTATTTTTTTTTCAAAGTTTCATTCATCTTCATTGGAAAGGCAGATTTCCAGAGAGAAGGAGAGACAAAGAGGAAGATCTTCCATCTACTGGTTCACTCCCCAAGTGGCCCCAATGGCTGAAGCTGAGCTGATCCAAAGCCAGGAGCCAGGAGCTTTTTCCAAGTCTCTCACGTGGGTGCAGGGTCCCAAGGCTTTGGGCCATCCTCGACTGCCTTCCCAGGCCACAAGCAGGGAGCTGGAAAGGAAGTGGAGCAGCCAGGACACGAACTGGTGCCCAGGTGTGATACTGGCACTGCAAGGTAGAGGATTAGACTGTTGAACACCTGTGCTGGCCCCATTAAGTTTTGTGGGTTTTTTTAAGATTTATTTTTATTTGAAAAAGTTATAGAAGATGGGGACTGGAGAAGAGAGAGCAGAGGGATATTCCATCTGTTGCTTCATTCTGCAAATGCCAGCAACAGACCGGCAGGGGCGGGGGGAGGGCAGGCCAAAGCCAGGAGCTTAGGATTCCATTCAGGTCTCCCACATGGATGCAGGACCCCAAGCACTCTTTTTTTTTTTTTTTTTAAGATTTATTTATTTTTATTGCAAAGTCAGATATCCAGAGAGGAGGAGAGACAGTGAGAAAGATCTTCCATCCGATGATTCACTCCCCAAGTGAGCACAACGGCCGATGCTATGCCAATTCGAAGCCAGGAGCCAGGAGCTCCTCCAGGTCTCCCACGTGGGTGCAGGTTCCCAAGGCTTTGGGCCATCCTCAACTGCTTTCCCAGGCCACAAGCAGGGAGCTGGATGGGGAAGTGGAGCTGCCAGAATTAGAACCGGCGCCCATACGGGATCCCTGCGTGTTCAAGGCGAGGACTTTAACCGCTAGGCCACGCTGCTGCCCTCCCCCCCAAGCACTCTTGAGCTGTCCCCTGCTTTTTCAAGTTGTAAATAGGGTGCTGGATCGAAAGTAGAGTAACTAGTCATGAACTGGTGTCCACATGGAATGTTGGTATTTGCAGGCAGAAGATTAACAACTTGAGCCATTGCACTGCCTCTTGCTTGTTAAGTATTATAACTAGATGTTAACCAGTTTAGTATCTATCCCCCCTGGCCTCCGCCTAACATGAAGGACTTCACTTAAGGAATATGCTAGAGATATAATAGGAAAGCAAACAAAATTGAGAGGGGGGAAGCAGTGGAGAACAAGCAGAAGACAGTTAACATACATACAGAAAGCAAATGCTGCTGTGCATGAGAAAGCACTGCTGTGGAGATGGACTATGCTGGAGGGGGAAAGTGGTGTACACTCTGAAGGGGCCTCTTGCATCAGGAAGACCTCACTGACATTTGAGTGGAGATCTAAAGGAGATGGGGGGCACATCTAGAAGGGTGTTCTAGGCAGGACAGCAACTAGACAGCAGTCCATGGGGCTGCCTGAAGAGTACGAGGTTCCATTGAGGACTAGAGAAGAGATCCAAGTAGGTGGAATTAATTAAGGGAAGGAGAGTTGTAGGCTGTGCAGCCAGGGAGGGGGCACCAGGAGGACTTAGGCGTTTGCTGTTAGTGGGCGCCCTGAGTGGGTTTTGAGTGACCAAGACACAGGGTCTGATCAGTGTGTCTTAACCTGCGTCTGGCTGCTGTGCACAGAATGGACTGCTGGGAGATTAAAGGCAGAAGCTGGAAGGGCCAGAAAGAGATGCAGCAGTAAGGAGAGAGTCAAACTCTGGAGCTCACAAGGACAGGGCTGATGCCAGAATTGTGGGGTGTGCAACTATGGCAGGGTTGATGGGGAGCTGTGGTGAGAGCAGCCCTGGTGCGTTCTAGTATCCCAACACATGCGTTTTCCTCTCCCCAGTTTTCCAGAAAGCCCTGAGCGGCTCCATGCCATCAAGGAACAGCTAATTCAGGAAGGTCTCCTGGACCGCTGTGTGTCATTTCAGGTGAGTCCTGCAGTCAGCTCTGGGTGGAAGGCAGGGAGCTGGGACTGCCTTTGCCTGAGCCCTTTATTCTTTTTGTCTCCCTAGGCCCGGTTTGCTGAAAAGGATGAGCTGATGTTGGTTCACAGGTGAAGGCTTGGGAGCCTTGTAGGAATGGGGAGGAGGCTGCCTTGGACCAGCCAGGGCAGGCTGAATTCTTTGGGAAGGAATGTCAAGGACTTTGGTCAACCTTGAGCAAGTCGCTAGTCTTCTCTGAATCTGTGTCATCACTTGTAACACAGCAGCTAAGTAACCCTAAGTTCCTCTGGAGGATTCAGTGTGTCAGGTTCTCAGAACCGGGGCCCGATCTAGTCTCAGTCTCTGCTGAGTGACATTGTTGTCACCGGCTTGTGTAAACAGATGATGGGTGTATGGATAGGGCTGCAGGCATCCAAAATGAGAAGTCTGGAGCGCTGTGGCTCCAGGAGAACTCGCTTGACAGTGGAGATGTCAGAGCTGAGCTCTATGAAATGAAAAAGTGAGTGAGATGAATAGGAGGGCTGAAGGGAGGAGGAACAAAGACCTGGAACAGTCTAGCCAAGGGCCTGGAAGTAGGATTTGGTATAGCTAGAGCAAGCAGAGATCGGGGGTGGGAGAGGCATTACTGGCTAGGGGTAAAACAGGGAATGAGTCCTCTATCCCAGCTGGTCCCCCATGGTAATAGTTGGAGAGGTGTTATTTGACCAGGGTCTGATGTGTGGAAGGCTCACCTGGGAAGGGGCTGGGAGCCCTGATTCTCATCCTCTATTTGCCCACAGCCCAGAATTCATTGAGCTGATGGAATCAACTCAGCACATGAAAGAAAGTGAACTCCGTGTCCTAGCAGATACCTATGACTCTGTTTATCTGCATCCGGTATGCAAGAGAACCGGGGTGGGGGGTGGAGGAGGGCAAGTAGCCACAATCCTGGGGTTCCGTGTCCCTGTGCCTCCCTACCCTGGTGAAGCAGCCAAGAGGACAGGGCTGTTCTCTCCCTTACTCCCACTCTGGTTCCCCGCTGTCTCTCCAGAACTCCTACTCCTGTGCCTGCCTGGCTTCAGGCTCCGTCCTCAGGCTTGTGGACGCAGTCTTGGCTTCTGAGATTCGGAATGGCATGGCCATCATCAGGTAGGACCCTTCAGCATGTCACATTTCACATTTTTGGAAAGTCCTTCCCTCAGATGTAAGTAAAAGAGTTACTTACGTGTTGTAAGAGACAAAAGGTACTAACAGGAGTATAATAAAGTCTTTTTTTTCCCTTCCTAGGAGAGAGTCATTATAACTAGTGGCTCTTGTCTACTCACACAAATAGTTTTATTCAAGAAATAAATACCATATTTCATAGATTCTTCAGTGTATATTTGGAAATCACAGTGACATCTCAGAATTTAATTAGCAGTATTTTCTGCTTTGTTGGCAAACATAGTGCATCTTGTCATGGTTGGCATCCCCGAACTGATAGAATGCAGAAGACAGAGCTCTTCTCCTCCCTCCCCTTTTTTATGCACAGATGGTAGCACTTAACATACCCCCCTTCTGTAACATGTTCTTTTACTTAGCTATCTTGGAAAGCTTTCTCTAGCACTATATAGCTTAGACCTTGCTAGAACAGCTACTGTATACATGTACTTTCATCAACCAATTCCCTATCAATGAGTATTTTGGATTTCCCCAATCATTTGCTATGTGAAAGAGGCTACAGCAAGTATGGTGGTACATGTATAAACATTATTTCACATTCTTTGTTATATAAGTTGTGGGCTTGGTCCCCACTGCACAAAGACGGCATGAGAATGCACACGTCGATAACTTGAGTGAACATTTTCAAATCTTCTTGGGTGAGACAGAGGTAGGTTGGCGGGGCCGGTGAGAATTCTAGACCTGAGTCGCCGACAGATTTGCAGGCATTGGCATTGGAGCAGTTGGTGGTCTGAGATCAAGGAGCAGGGGGAGCCCTTCTCTGCAGTTGAGAAGCTTCCCTGTCAGGGGCCTTCTTTGTTCTGCCCAGGCCCCCCGGACACCATGCCCAGCACAGTCTAATGGATGGATATTGCATGTTCAATCACATTGCGGTGGCTGCTCGTTATGCCCAACAAAAACATGGCGTACACAGGTCAGTGACAGACAGTGGATGTGATGGAAGTGGCACAGGATGGCCTGTCCTGGTCTGGGCTCTTCCTCTGAATTCACCTTGACCCCTTGCACTGATGCTCTTTTTCTTACAGAGTCCTCATTGTGGACTGGGACGTACACCATGGTCAAGGAACACAGTTCATGTTTGATCAGGACCCCAGGTAAACCCTAGGTGCTAGACCAATTACCCTTTACTGTGACAGGATCAGCCAGAAAGGAATCAGAAGAAGGGGAAGGTGTTCACGTGCATCGGGCCCACCCTGGGCCCAGAACCCATGCTGCTCTGTGTCTGCATTCTCATTTCACTCGGAGACAGGGAATTCAGAGACTCCCTATTCTACAGGAGTGTAGGGTTAGAAGTCTCAGAAGAAGTGGAAACTGACCCCCAAATATTTGGAAATCTTGTTCACTGATATGAAGGACCCTTGAGCTGGAGTGAACCTCAAATTATTATTTTATCTCTTCTGATTGCAAAGTACTTTTAAAAAAATCAGAAATGCCTAAGTCAGGAAAAAAATTCAGAAATGTCTAAGTCAGAATTTCACCTCAGAAATAACTGTTGGCAGCTTAGGTTATATATTTAGATTTCTTTTTGTAGATATATGAATATTAATTGTCATCATTTTTAAGATTTGCATATTTTTATTGGGAAGGCAGATTTACAGAGAGGAGAGAAAGATTGGTTCAATCCCCAAATGGCTACAATGGCTGGCTGGAGCTTAATCGATCCAAAGCTGGGGGCCAGGAGCCTCTTCTGGGTGTCCCACATGGATGCAGAGTCCCAAGGCTTTGGGCTATCCTCCACTAAACAGGGAACTGGACAGGAAGTGGAACAGCCCCAACACAAACTGGTGCCCATATGGGATGCTGGTGTTTGCAGCCAGTTTGGCCAGTTGACCCCCCATTGCACCAGCCCCTCATTATTTATCATTATTGTCAACACATGGAGCTCAGTGTGGTAGCCTAGTGGCTAAAGTCCTTGCCTTGCATGCACTGGGATCCCGTATGGGCGCTGGTTCTAATCCTGGCAGCCCCGCTTCCCATCCAGCTCCCTGCTTGTGGCCTGGGAAAGCAGTTGAGGACAGCCCAAAGCCTTGGGACCCTGCACCTATGTGGGAGACCCGGAAGAGACTCTGGTCTCCTGGCTTTGGACTGGCACAGCACCAGTTAGTTGTTGGAATGTCTGGGGGATTGATTCTGTCCTCTAACCCTTTCACCTTTTTTTTTTGCTTTATCCAGTGTTCTGTATTTCTCCATTCATCGCTACGAGCAAGGTCGATTCTGGCCCCATCTTCCAGCCGCTAACTGGTCCACCATAGGTTTCGGCCAAGGCCAAGGATACACCATCAATGTGCCTTGGAACCAGGTCAATGTCTGTCCACTCTCTGCCCCCAAGTGAGGCCCTGCCATGCCTTTCCATCAGCACCAGGGGACAGGTAGCTGACCACCCTCCATCATGACTCTGTGTCTGCAGGTTGGCATGCGTGATGCTGACTACATTGCTGCTTTTCTGCATATCCTGCTGCCAGTCGCCTTTGAGGTCTAGGGGTCTGGGGAGTGTTGGGTGAGGGGTGACACTGAGGGATGAGCCATGAGGACAAGTAGCCTCATGTAGTTCATTCCTCCCTCAGTTCCGACCTCAGCTGGTCCTTGTTGCAGCTGGATTTGATGCTCTCCTAGGGGATCCCAAGGTAAAACAGACTCCTTGTAGGTACCAGGTGAGTAGAAGGGGTTTACTGGGGACAGACTGACTTTCTCTGTCTCTCCAGGGCGAGATGGCCGCCACCCCAGCTGGGTTTGCCCAGCTAACTCATCTGCTTATGGGTCTGGCAGGAGGCAGGCTGATCCTCTCTCTGGAGGTAAGTGACTCACTTCTGGCTCTCAGCTTGTGGGCCCTGAGCTCGGAAACAATGCTTAGAGATATTAGAAACAACGCTTTTCAGTCCATTGAGAATCCCCTGCCCAACATGTGCCACATACTAGCTGGACAGTCTAGCAGAAGTTGCTTACTTTCTATGTGGGCATCAAGATTGGTAATCACCTGATTATCATTGTCCAGTGAATTAAGTGAGAACACCTTCTGCAGTTCCTGTTGCTTAACATCTAGTATGCCCCGGGTATTGCCATTTCTCACTGTCACTTTTCTCTGATACTGCCTAATTATTTTCCTCAACCCCAACTTCTTTTCGTAGGGTGGCTATAATCTCCGTTCCCTGGCTGAGGGTGTCAGCGCCTCGCTCCACACTTTGCTGGGAGACCCTTGCCCCATGCTGGTGTCCCCTGGTATTCCCTGCCGAAGGTAAGCCCAGATGGAGGAGGGGGAAAGCGGGGCTCTTTCTGCCCACCTCGGGGCTGTTTAATCACAATTGCCCCTCCTCTGCCCTCCAGTGCCCAGAATTCACTCTCCTGTACTCTGGGAGCCATTGAGCCTTTCTGGGAATTTCTTCTGAGACCAGGTAGGAAGTGGGGGGTTGGCTTGATGGGCTAGGAGTGGAATGGGCTGTGGAGGAACCTTGGGCCATCTCCACTGGGCCCCGGTTTCATGCCTCCCATCCCCTTCATAAGCTTGGGTCACCTGAGTTCCAGAGTGTTAACAGAGATTCAGGTTGGGAGAGCAAGGTGAATGTGACCTCCCCTTGTAGTTGAGATCATCGAGGAGGACATCATGGAAGAGGACAGCATGGAGGAGAGTGAGGAATCTGAACTCTGGGAGCCACCTGTGTTGCCAATGCTGACATGGCCAGTGCTGCCGGCTCGCACAGGGCTGATCTATGACCAGCGAATGATGAGTCACTGCAACTTATGGGACAAGTATGCAGTCAGAGGGCTGGGGTATGGGTTGTGTGGTTGCCCTCCCCCGCAAGCTCTCAGCCCCTACCTCTGCTTCTCCCACCCTACCAGCCACCATCCAGAGACACCCCAACGTATCTTGCGGATCATGTGCCATCTGGAGGAGCTGGGTCTTGCTGGACGCTGTCTCATCCTGCCTGCGCGTCCCGCCACAGATGTTGAACTGCTCACCTGCCACAGGTCACATATCTGGACCCAGGGTCGGAACTGTGACCATGATCATGAATGGGACTTAGGGGTGGGAACGTGGAGTTACCCTCCCCTGTGTGGGGGCTGCTGTAAGACTGAGGAGAGTCTAAGTTCTTATCTCAGAGTGGCTCCCATGAAGGGGACAGAACTGCCTCACTTTCACTAGCTGTCCCTCTCTGTGTCCCCAGTGCTGAGTACGTGGAGCGCATTCGAGCCACAGAGAGTATGAAGACCCGTGAACTGCATCGTGAGGGTGCCAATTTTGACTCCATCTACATCTGCCCCAACACCTTCAGCTGTGCACAGCTTGCCACTGGCACCGTCTGTCGCCTCGTGGAGGCTGTGATGGAAGGAGAGGTGTGGCTTCTGGACTGCCTTGGCAGGCTACCTATGGTGGATCTGAGACAGTTGGGCCAGGCTTGAGGACAGGGGCCTAGGGGTGAGCTAGAGGAGCCCCTCTGGGAACAGTGGTCTCACAGGTGGTGAAGTAAATAAAGGTGGCAGGGGTGAAGAAAAGGGAAGGCAGGTATGAGGGCAAGCAGGCCACATTTCTTCCTGTGCTTCTCTAGGTTTTGAATGGTGTTGCGCTGGTGCGCCCCCCAGGACACCATGCCGAGCGAAATGCTGCATGTGGTTTCTGCTTTTTTAACTCCGTGGCTGTGGCTGCTCGCCATGCCCAGGCCATCAGTGGGCGTGCCCTGCGGTAAGGATCTCTTGATTCTTGTGGAGACTTTGGTGCCCCCCTCACCCTAGAGTGTAATCAGCAGGTTCCATGTATGCCTCCCAGGACTATCCTAGAAGCAAATAGGGCTCTAACTTCCCAGCACTTCTCCTAAACAGGACCACAGAGGAGCTAGTCAGTGCCTCTCCAGTGTGGATCTCCAGATTGTTGCACCTGGGCACTTACCAAGCTAGGTCTCAGGTCCTACCCTAGGCTATATGGCCCCCAGTAGCCATCCCAACAGAATTCAGGTTGAGGCCCCAGCGCTTCCTCCAGAGGACCTGGGATTCAGTTCCCAGCACCTAACTTCCTAGGGCTTACCACTTCCTACCCTCCAGGACTTACTTAGGCCCACAGTGCAGCCCTCAGGCTTAACCCTCATCCTTATACAAATAGGACCCAACAGCTCAATACCCAGTGCCTTCCCAAGAGATCCAAGATACTATTCCTTAGCAGCAAATGTCCCTACAGACCCTAGGGGTCTATACAGCCTTTCCCCATGGGGCGAATGTCCTGGGATATTGAGGAACTATCCCCTTCCCAGGATCTTGATTGTGGACTGGGACATCCATCATGGTAATGGAACTCAGCACATTTTTGAGAATGATCCCAGGTGAGATTTCTGGGACTGGGGGCAAGGGTGTGGACAGGAATGGGGCGGTGAGCCATGCCTCAGGAGTGCTGGGAGGAAAGCATCGTAATACCATGGCCCTCCTTCTCCCTTGTCCCTGGCAGTGTGCTCTACATATCCCTGCACCGTTATGATCAAGGCTCTTTCTTCCCCGTGGGGGATGAGGGCTCCTGCAACCGCATAGGCAGGGGTGCAGGCACAGGCTTCACTGTCAACGTGGGCTGGAATACCTCCCGCATAGGGGATTCTGACTACCTGATGGCCTGGCATCGTCTGGTGCTTCCCATTGCATATGAGGTATGGTTCAGGATGTATGTGATACGCCTGTGGAGGTGGCAGCACGTGGCTTCCTCCTCAGGAGTATGTGTCTGACTCATCATGTCAGGTGACTGAGCATGTGAGACAACCAGTGGGTGGCTTGGGGATGGCTTTCAGGGGAGGGGGATGGTGGTGATAACCTTGCATACCTGTCTGGGCACAAGTGGCTTCTGGTGTAGGCTTCTCTGTGCCATTGTACACATCTCTTTTTTTTCCCTACTCAGTTTAACCCAGAACTGGTACTGGTCTCAGCTGGCTTTGACGCTGCACGAGGGGACCCACTGGGGGGCTGCCATGTATCACCTGAGTGTTACGCACATCTCACCCACCAGCTGATGGGCCTTGCCGGTGGCCGCATTATCCTTGTGCTAGAGGTAACTTGCTTTGATCCCTCTCCCTGTGGTGGGAGGGTACTTAGGAAGAGCTGGCTGTATCACTTGGGGGCAGTTTCCCAAAATCCCTTTTGCGTGTCCACACATAGGATTATTGGCACATAGTGGGCACAAATAAGAACACCACCCACGTTAACAGCTTTAATTGAACTCTCACTGTGTGTAAAGACAAAACAGTCTTCTGTACTAGGATCTGCTCACCTGAACATTTTCCTCTCTGAAGATTGGGGAAACTGAGGCACAGAGGGGTGGAGTGCCTGGTCTGAGGTCACACATTGAAGAGCAGAGCCAAGGCTTGAACCCATTCATGTTGGTTCCAAGTCTGCTTCTTACCACTACCTCAGTGCCTCTAAGAAGCTCCTTGGACAAAGTAAATTCACTGACCTTTTGTAAATCAGTTCCTCTACCTGGTGTACCTCAGTTTCCTTATCTGTGAGATGGGGTTGGCTGATCATGAAAGAATACCAGCATGTGATAAGCACTAGGTGAATGCTGTAGCTTTTCACTACTATCCATCATTTAGACATTAATTTAACCCTTTTAGCAATATTCTGGGCTGTAATTTTTATGACACATGAAGAAAGTAAGGTCACACAAATGAATTGGCTTACAAAAAGTCCCACTTTCAGGGTGTCTAGGTCTGCTTGTGGCAAGGCAGGGTTGTGGGTAAAATCATGAAGTGTTTTGTTAGATAGACCAGGTTCAAATTCCAGCACTGCCTCTTTAGCTGTTGTGACTTCGGACAAGTCATCTAACCACCCTGAGCCTGTTGTGTTACCTAGAAAAAGCATAGAGACTGAGTCCTCAGTAAGCAGGGGTGGGAAGCACTTAGCCCACGGGGAAGGCCCATGAGATTATTCGGTCTGGCCCTGCTCAGGTAAACTGCAGGCAGAACTCAAGATTCAGCCAACGTAACAGAGCAGCCTTTAAGCTGATGTCCTGCAAATTGTGTTAGAAAGATCCAGATGGCCTTTGGCAGAAAGAAGGTTCTGCCGCCCCTGCTATACAGTATGAAGAAAACTTGCACACAGAAAGAAAAACCAGTTATCCCATTCTAATTCAAAGCAGAGGATTCTTTTTCCCCAAAAACTTTTTGAACATTTATCTGTGTGTTTACTTATGTATTTATATGTTTTATATGAAAGGCAGAGAAAGGCAAAAGGAGTTTGCCCATCCGCCAGTTCATTCCCCATATGTCTGCAAAAGCCAGGGCTGGACCAGGCACAAGTTATGAGTCTGGAACTCCATCTGTCTCCCTCCTGGGCTACAGGGACCCAGCTACTTGCACCATCGCCTGCTGCCTGCCAGGGTGCACGCCAACAAGAAGCTATAGTAAAGAAGCAGAGCTGGGGCTTGAACCCAGGCACTCTGGTATGAGATCTGGACATACTCTGCACCAGATGCCTGCCCCATGGGTAGAGGCTTTTATGTGGGTTCACAGCAGGCATCTTGGTGCAGGTCAGGTCAGTGGTTTCTACATAGTGTGAGAACAAGGGTTCTTAATATGAAGACGGATTTCCGTGTAGCATGAAGGAAAGTACCTTTGCAAATTGAGCATTTGTGGTTGTGAGAATTAGGCCCCTTAATATGCCTGACACATTTAACATAGGGCCTCAGCGTCTAGCAATGTGGTACCACAGATTAAGCTGCCTCTTGTGACACCAGCATCCCATATCAGAGCACCACATTTAGTCCCAGCTGCTCCACTTCTGACCCAGCTCCCTGCTGCTCCACCTGAGAAAGCAATGCAGGATGACCCATTGGCTCCTACACAGGAGACCTTAATGGAGTTCAGGCTCCTGCCTTCAGTCTGCCCCAGCCCTAGAGCCATTGCAGCCGTTTGAGAAGTGAACCAGTGGATAGATGGATGGACCTCTCTCTTTCTCCACTCTCCTCTCTCTATGTCACTCTGCCTTTCAAATAAATGTTTAAAAATAATAAGGTGTGGTACACAGGGAACAGTTAATGTCAGCTGTTACTGATGATATTATCACTATTATTACTGTTCTCTTATACTTCACAACATGATCTACCCTCCTCCCCAAACCACCGCCCCAGATAGGTGTTACCCACCTTACAGGTGTGGGTTCTATTCATTCCCAGGACCCCCACCCCCTCAATTCCAGGCTTGCAAGGCCCAAGCAAAAAAGGAGGGCCAAGAAGGATGACATCTTGTTCTCCAAATTCCCTGATGAACCCCCACCATCCCTTTCCTTCTCCTTTTCCTCACAAAGGGTGGCTACAACCTAACCTCCATCTCAGAGTCTATGGCTGCCTGCACCCGCTCCCTTCTCGGAGACCCACTGCCAGTGCTGGCCCTGTCACGGGCCCCACAGCTGAGCGCCCTGACCTCAGTCACTGAAACCATCCAGGCCCATCGCAAATATTGGCGTAGCTTATGGATCACAAGTGAGTGGACATGGCGGGGGGTGGGGAGCAGTGGGGGATTGAAGGAAGGAGAGAGTTGGAGGGCAGGAATGAGAGGCAGGAAAGGAACTAACACCCCACACTCAACGATCTCCCTCCATGATTTCAGAGATAGAAGACAAGGAGGGAATGTACAGTTTTAAATCAGCTACTAAGAAGGCATCTAAGCCAACTAAACCAACTAGACCAATTAATCCTGCACCAGTTGAGAGGATGACCCCAGCAGTAAAGAAGCTTCTGGAAGCAGGCATGGGAAGGGCGACCTCATCACTGTCTGCAGTGAAGTCCATTCCAGCCCAGACTGAATCAAAGACATCTGTGATGAGCACTGAGGCCCAGGCCTCACAAGCAGCCACAGGGTTAGCCACGCTGTACCAGACCACCTCAGAAGCAACCATGGGAGGAGCGATGATGGAACAGACCACCTGGGAATCAGCCACAGGGGTAGCTACACCAGACCAGACCACCTCAGAGGAGGCTGTGGGAGGAGCCTTACTGGACCAGACCACCTCAGAGGTTTCCATGGGGGAAACCATATTGGACAAGATCATTTCAGAGGAGGTTGTGAAAGAAGACAAGCTGAAACAGACCACCTCAGAGGAGGCTGTGGGGGCAGCCAAGCTGATCCAAACTCCTCTAGGCTCCAGCACAGATAAGCAGACTCCCCCAACCTCACCTGTGCCAGGAGCCACACCCCAGCTATCTCCCAGCCAGCTGGCTGGGAGCCTCAGGACTCTGGAACTAGGCAGTGAACCTCAGGTAAGGGCCACAACCCCCAGGTAGAGGGAAGAAGGGGCAAGAATCAGGCCCCTTCAACACACCTTGTGCTTCTGTGTGTCTAGAAAACCTCAGAACCTCAGCCTCCAGAAGAGGAGGGCCTACTAGCAGAGGCAGCTGGAGGTCGGGATGTGGATGATGCGAAACTGATGCAGGGAGCCGGGGGCCTTGCTGAAACTAACCAGGTGAGCCCAGGGAGAGGCTGCATCGTGGCATCTTCTGTGCATCCATGTCTTTAGGTAGGAGGTGTGATGCAGAAGCATCAAATAGGGGAATGGGACCCCAGGCTAACTCAGTTTCATCCACCCCAGGCTATGTTTTATGCTGTGACACCAATGTCCTGGTGTCCCCATTTGGTGGCAGTGTCCCCCATACCCGCATCAGGCCTGGATGTGACTCAAAAATGTCAGGACTGTGGAACACCCAAGGAAAACTGGGTGTGCTTATCTTGCTATAAGGTATGGAGCAAAGGAAGGGAATGGGGCGGAGGCTGGTCCAGGAGCAAACTCCAGCAGGTGCTGACCCGTCTGACACTCACTCCAATCTCAGGTCTACTGCAGTCGCTTCATCAATGCTCATATGGTCCAACACCATGAAGCCTCTGGACATCCGCTGGTTCTCAGCTACGTCGACCTGTCGGTCTGGTGTTATCCGTGCCAGGCCTATGTCCACCACCAGGTGGGCTGCGGGCAGACCCTTTTAACATGTGCATTCTCATGCCTCATACACGTGCACTCACTCCTCATGTGATTGGGTAAAGGGAGAGTGCAGATCCATTTAGGCAGCTGTCTCATGGTCCTTTGGTATGGTGCGGGAGCTGTGGGATAGTCCAACAGATAGAGTGGTTCGGGACTGGCAAGCAAGCAGGCCAAGGCAGAGTATTCCCCACACTCACCTACCCTGTTCTTGCCTCCTCCCCAGGCGCTCCTAGATGTGAAGAACACCGTCCACCAGAACAAGTTTGGGGTGGACATACCCCATCCACATTAGACCCCGAATGTGCTCCCTCTTCTCCACCTGAGGCCCGAAAGACACCAGCCTTGTTCATTCCAATCTCTGCCTTGGATGAGGGGCCTCTCATTGCATCTCTACCAAAATATCCTTTGCAACTCCTAAAGGGTGCTTATTTAAGTGTATATACTTCTCAGAGGACTACGACGATCAGTTGTGGATTTTCCCCCTGTCCACTACCTGAGCAAGGGACAAACACTACTACACCCCTTGAAGAAAAGGGGAGCTCTGTAGTCCCAAAGGGGAGCTGCTATCACAAGGCTAACATGGGAAGAAGTGGGGAGCAACTGGCAGGTGTGGGGTAACATCTATAATAAATGCAAGCTGTTACAAAACCTGGAGAAAGCCTTTTACCTTTGAGTAGGTAGAGAATCCTACAACCCTCTCCAGCAAGAAATGAAGGAATAATGGAATGAGTATTCATCTTTTGAACCCCCTCACCATTCATTGCACAAATCAAAACAAAAAACTCATTGACAATACACCAGGCAGCTTGACTGGCTCCAGGAGAGGTTACATGGTAGAAACCATTAGAACATGAAAACCTGGTTGGCAAACACAAGGATATTTCAGAAAGTTCATAGAGATGGAGTTAGAAGATGTGTGTGTTTTGGCATAAAAATTTGAGATCTGTGCATACAAGGGGTCTTCAGCAAATTCATGCAAGCGCACATGATGAGAGCAGGTGTTAGACACAGCAGGTAACCTGCTGCTTGGGATGCACAATGCTTCTAATGTCCACTTTCTGTTCCTGAGCACACTGGGAGGCAGCAAAGGATGGCTCAAATATTTGGGTCCCGGCTACCCATGTGGGAGGCCCAGATTGAGTTCCAGACTCCTGACTGGGCATTTAGGAAGTGAGTCAGTAAGATGGAAGATTCTGTTTAAGACATGTGAACAAACTATACATGGATTTAATTTTTTTTCACTGAAATGAATTTTTAATTCCATGTAGAATTTTATTTTAAAAGATTTATTTATTTAGTGCCCGGCGCGGTGGCGCAGTGGCTAAGGTCCTTGCCTTGCATGCCCGGGATCCCATGTGGACGCCGGTTCTGATCCTGGCAGCCCCGCTTCCCTTCCAGCTCCCTGCCTGTGGCCTGGGAAAGCAGTTGAGGACGGCCCAAAGCTTTGGGACCCTGCACCCGCGTGGGAGACCCAGAAGAAGCTCCTGGCTTCGGATCGGCATAGCATCGACCGTTGCGCTCACTTGGGGAGTGAATCATCGGATGGAAGATCTTCCTCTCTGTCTCTCCTCTCTGTATATCTGCCTTTCCAATAAAAATAAAATAAATCTTAAAATAAATAAATAAATAAATAAAAGATTTATTTATTTGAAAGGCAGAGTTAACAGAGGAGAGAAATAAGCTTTTCCATCCATTGGTTCACTCCCCAAATGGTATTAACAGCTGGAGCTGAGTCTGGAAAAGCAGGAGATTTCCTTAGGGTCTCCCACATGGGTGCAGGCTCCCAAGATTTGAGTTGTGCTCCACTGCTTTCCCAGATCATAAAAAGGAAGGTGTATTGGGAGTGTAGCAGCCAGGACTCGAACCAGCAGCACCCATATGGGATGCTGGTGCTGCAGACTGAGGCTTAATTTGCTTTACCATAACACTGGCCCCATTTTGAACTTTTTTAGTTCATGGGGCCTCACAGCCAGTACTAGCCACTTCCTGGACTGAGAAAACAAGGAATTAGGAAGTATCCTAACCAGGTCCCAGTTTCCCAGTTGGGGTGGGGAATATTAAGCTTAACTTGGATGTGGTAGCCAGGATGACATCCTGGGATAAATGTGACTACTACTCCAGAAGTAACTGGAGAACAATTTTGGAATTTCATTTCCTCCACGTTATAAGATTTGCTTTGGCAACTCAAGGGTGTAAAGGCTAAACCTTCAGGGACTTTTTATTATGGCTACCTTTATTCTAAAATGACCATTGGAGAGCCCTCCGCAATCGGGGAAACATGCTGAAAAGTTGGCTTAAGCCTGTCCAAGAGCCTTCTGAATGCTCCCTTCATCAAGCCCTGCTTACATCTTTTTTTTTTTTAAGGATTTATTTATTTTGATTGGAAAGTCAGATATACAGAGAAGAAGAGAGACAGAGAGGAAGATCTTCCATCCAATGATTCACTCCCCAAGCAGCCACATGGCTGGAGTTGAGCTGATCCGAAGCCAGGAGCCAAGAGCTTCTTCTGGGTCTCCCACAGGGGTGCAGGGTCCCAAGGCTTTGGGCCGTCCTCAACTGCTTTCCCAGGCCACAAGCAGGGAGCTGGATGGGAAACGGGGCCACAGAGATTAGAACTGGCACCCATGTGGGATCCCAGTGCATGCAAGGCGAGGACTTCTGCCACTAGGCTACTGTGACAGGCCCCCATGCTTACATCTTATTGCTCAGAACTATAATATGATCACCATAGCTGCAAGAGAATCTGGAAGATATGTAACTTGGCAGTCATTCACCCCAAATAAGGTCATTCTGTCTGGACAGGATGACCCCTCCCTTGCAGCTGTTTCCCTCCAGAAACAAGCACCATGGCCTCCTTAGCTAGCAGAAATCCCAGATGAAGTGGCAGGTTTCAAAGCCTCAAAGGGCCGCTCACAAAAAGATTCCTGAAGTCCAAGTTAACAGGTCAAAAGTTGACACCCTCTTGAGACAAGCACCCAATTACATCCTGAATGAGGGTAGACAGGAAACCAAGGTTATGCCCAAGGCCTGACCTCCATGCTCCCAGCAGGTGTTAGCGCCTCTGGCGATGGAGAGGCAGGGGAGGGGTGGAGCTTGCCTGCCAGAGGCTGTTGGTGGCTGCGCATGTCTGCTCCCCACCTGCACCCGCTCCACCTTGTCAGTCTGTTAGAGCTGCCAGCTTCATCCCAGCCTACCTGTGTCCCAGGACAGGTGAGCAGGCTCCCCAGCCCTCCTCTGCCACTAAAGTCTTGGGTGCTGCATATGGGAGACCCCTTCCCCCCTCCAACTTCCCTTTCTGCTGCCTGCAGGAACCCGTTACTGGTCCAGTTCTAACCTGCGTAGGCTCACCCACGGCTTGGGCAGCAAAACTACCTCTCCACATCTTCGGGTTGGGTGGAAAACGGTGAATGGGGCTGTATGGTGTACAAATGAGCCCTGCGTGGAAAGGGTGCTGACTTGGAGTTCTAGGGTTATCCCCTTGCCACCTCGAGGAACACGCGTCCTAGCCAGGTTGGCCCAGTTGTCCACTCTGGGTGCTGTGGGGGGTTCATGGGAGGCAGTGTAAGAAAGTTGGAAGGAAAGAGGAGTTTACGGGTGCTGCCCATTTCCTGAGACCTTTCCAAAGCCCCAGCTATTTGGCTGCCCCTCCCTGGTCCTCCATCTCTCTCTGGCCCTGCGCCCCCACCAGCTACTCAACTCATCCTCCTGCGGACTTGGAGAAACCAAATCACCTGGCTAAGCTGCTCACAATGGCAGGTCTCAGGATCTCTGGGTGCCCTACAGTGGCAACCGCTGGCTCCTGCCACAGCAGGTGGCTCTGTGTTGCTTGAGGCACAGGCTGTGGCATCTCATCTTGGGCCAGTCCCTGTCACCTCACTGCTCCCAGCCTGGCTGTCCATCATCGAGAAAACAGGCAGGGGACAGTTGCCTCTCCCACCTCTTCAGAGATATCACAGCAAGCAGATAAGTCGGGACACTATGGGGGTCACTTAGTGTGTGCCAGGCTCTGGGGAGAGGGTGCCCACAGCCATGTGGTCACTATCATGGTCCCCAGCACCTGGGCCTGGAGGGAGGAGCCCTTCCATGCATCCCTAGGCTTTGATCCTCCCTAGGTTGTTTGATCCCTAGACTCAGGCAGTAGCCTTGACATCTGTCCTGCCTTTTAATGGCCAAAGAAAGCCTAGAGGCTTTCAGAATATACCAGAATCCCACCTCTCCTCTCAGCATGCAGTGCCACCAAACAGCGGCCTCCTTGCTGCTGCCCCCACCCCACACAGCTCAGTCTGACCTTCCCACTGGGTCTCCTCCTTCTTTGCGTTCCCAAGTATTAGGAACCTCGAAGGCTCTGTCTTCCTGACCCCCCCTTCCTGGGCAAGTGGAATCAGTGACCATTCTCAAGCATCCCTCTGGACCGGTGGATGCCACAGCAGTATCTCCAACTGCAACCTGTGCCCCTCGCCCCTACCCCAGCTCCTACCGTCACTTGGACTTTCCAGGGTCCCTTTGGCCCTACTATCTGCCCTCAGTGTCACTGCTCCCAGGGCTTCCAGAAAGACTTGTGGTGACAGCTGTTATGGTGTATTTTTACATCTTTACCCTCTGACCCAGGGTACATGGAGCTGTGTTCGGTGAACTAATGGAGATTTTGAACACTTGTTGTAGGTCTAGCCTCTTATATGCAAGATTTGGAGGGGGGGTGTTATTTATCGTCTTTCGCTGTCAGAATTTAATTATCCCTACCCTATGTATTTTTTAAGATTTACTTATTTATTTGAAAGGCAGAATTCTTTGGGGGAGGGGAGTATAACAACAAGAACAAATGCGAGAGAGAGAGAGAGAGAGAGAGAGAGAGAGAGGATCTTACTTCTGCTGGTTCACTCCTCAAATGACCTCACCAGCTGGAGCTTGAAACCAGGAGCCTAAAACTCCATTTGTGGGTCACAGGGGTCCAAGTACTTGGAGCATTGTTCACTGCTTTCTAGGAGTGCATTAGCAGGGAGCTGGATGGGGAGCAACCAAACCCAGACCCGAACAGCTGCTTTGATATTTTGATGTCCAAAGTAGTGACTGGATTTGCTACAACACAACATGGTCTTCACTTGAGTCTTTTTTGATCATTGCCATATTACAGTGCCTGGCAGTTAACAAGTGAGGGTCAAATTATGATAACATGTAACACTACCTGAGCACCTTTGCCTGAAAAGCATTTTACTTATTTCTCATGTTTGTTGTCTGTATCCAGACAGCTACGTAGAATTATCAACAGCAACGTGAAATGTTAACTTTGACCAGGGCAAGAGTTTGTTGTCTATTTTTGTCTACTTTGATGTCTTTTCTACACAGTAGGCTTTCAAGACAAATATATATATATTGAATAATTAATATGAATAGTATCAATTGAATAATTAATAAAGACTAATTTCTAATGAGCGTTGCTAACAGACTACGTGATTTATTTATCTATTTGGTTTTCTGTCTCTGCCTTTTAGAACATAAATCCGTGGGTGGAGTGGGACTGTTTGGGGAGGTGTTGAGTCAGACTATGGCTCAATGATGATCAAAACAAAATCCCTCCCTCCCCCTGCAATGGAGACTGCTAACCAGCACAGGATTTATTTTGCAGAGATGAAAACATTCTCAAATTGCCTTATGCTGATAGTTGCCCAGCTCAGTGTCACAGGTCACTGATTTATAATTTAACTGGGTAAACACCATGGGATATAAACTCCATCTCTGTAAAGCTGTTTTGGGAGCCAGTGTTGTGGCATAGCTAGTTAAGCTGCCTCTTGGGATGCCTACATCCAATCTATCAGAGTTTGGATTCGGTTCCCAGATGCTTCATTTCTGATCCAGCTTCCTGTTAATGAACCTGGGAGCCAAATAATTGAGTCCCTACCACCCAAGTGAGAGAGACCCTGGTAGAATTGCTAGCTCCTGGCTTTTTGCCTGACCCAACCCAGGTGTCTCCCTTTCTCATGTGTATGTGTGTGATTCTGCCTTTCAAGTAAATATATCTTTTTTAAGAAATAAAGCTTTTTGAAAAATCTTGCCCTCGGATTTTATCATAGAAGAAAGAAACCAACTCTGTCAGGAATTGATCAGCACATGTTAAGTACTTAGTAACTGTCAATTCAATGGCATCCAGCTGGTCTCTTGCCCCAACTGGTCTTCCCTAACCTATCCTTCCCCTTGTCTTTCTTCTCTTCCTACTTGCAGAGCCTGCTGTCCACGTGTCTCCCCTGAACTAACTGCCTGCTGGGGTCATGGCCCTGCCAACAAAATCTAGCTCATTTGACCTGGGCTTGGGTACCTGGAACCTTGGTTCCCAGGAGGAAGGCTACTGGCGTCAGGCACGCTACAGGGGTGTTGGCAAGAAGCTGCCTGAGTACAAGGCTGTGGTGGTGGGTGCAACTGGCGTGGGCAAAAGTGCGCTGACAATCCAGCTAAACCATCAGTGCTTTGTGGAAGACCACGACCCCACCATCCAGGACTCCTACTGGAAGGAGGTGGCGCTGGACCACGAGGGATGCATTCTGAATGTACTGGACACAGCAGGGCAGGCTACCCACAAGGCCCTGCGTGACCAGTGTGTGGCTATTGGTGATGGTGTCCTGGGAGTCTTCGCTCTCGATGACCCCTCCTCTCTGGCCCAGCTGCAGCAGATGCGTGCCAGCTGGGACCCTCACCACACCCAACCCGTCGTTCTTGTGGGCAACAAATGTGACCTTGTGACCACAGTCGGAGATGCGCACGCAGCTGCCACAGCCCTTGCTGAGAGCTGGGGGGTCCCCTTCGTGGAGACCTCGGCCAAGACACGGCAAGGTGTGGAAGAGGCCTTTACCTTGCTCATCCGTGAGATCCAGAGGGGCCGAGAGATCAGAGTAGAGGAGGCCAGGGCAGGCTCAGGTGGGCGGAGGACCCGACACCTGAAGGCCAGGTGCCACTGCGGCTGTTCTGTGGCCTGAACGTCTTGGTCAAGCAGAGTGGACATCCCCCCAGCTCACCCCCGCCCCACTCTGCCGCACTGCTCCGTGGGCAACTCGCTTTGTGGCTCCTACTTGAATGTATGTGGGGATAGATGGATACCTCTCTTGTTTTCATTTAGTGAGGCACTTTTATTTGGTAACACGGAGGTGTCTGCTGTTAATTGTGTCGACTCCACAGCTTTTTGTGCAAAATTAAATAAACGGTGTTCTCAGGTTTCAAAGCTACTAAGTGTGATGTGGGTGGGAGTGACACTGGGTAGGACGTTATGTAAATGATGATAATCCTATCATTCAGAAAACTGGGGGAGTCCATTGTGTGGCAGTCCCTGCTTTGGGTAATAAGGGATATAGACACAAGACACTTAGAACAACAACAACACTCTTCCCGGAGCCAGCATTGTTGTGCAGTGAGTTAATCTGCCACTTGGGATTCTGGCAACACATATCAGAACACGGATTCAAGTCCTGGCTGCTCCACTTCCATTTCAAGTCCCTACTGATGCACCTGGGAACAGCAGCAAAGGATAGGCCCCTGCTGCCTGTACAGGAGACGCAGAAGGAGCTCCTGACTTTCGCTTGGAACTTTTGGCCATTTAGGGAGAAAAACAAGAAGTAGAAGATGCCCAGAAACCAGCTAGAGCCAAGGCAACTCCCCAGAGCTTCAGGGCCTGTGGCAAGAGTATAAATAGGCCTCTAAACTATGTAACTAAATATGCAAACATCTAAATAGTATAGGTTAAACTAACAAACCAAATGAAAAGTAAATCCTATTCTTGTATCTTGACAAATGTATTTATTGTAAAGGTACAGTGGCAGAAAACAAAAGAGCGATCCCATCTGTTGATTCACTTCTTTTTTTTTTTTTAAGATTTATTCATTTTTTAATTGCAAAGTCAGATATACAGAGAGGAGGAGAGAAAGAGAAGAAGATCTTCCGTCTGATGATTCACTCCCCAAGTGGCCGCAACAGCCGGTGCTGCACCAATCCGAAGCCAGGAGCCAGGAGCTTTTTCCAGGTCTCCCATGTGGGTGCAGGGTCCCAAGACATTGGGCCATCCTCGACTGCTTTCCCAGGCCACAGGCAGGGAGCTGGATGGGAAGTGGAGCTGCCAGGATTAGAACCGGCGCCCATATGGGATCCCAGCATGTTCAAGGCAAGGACTTTAGCCACTAGGCCACGCTGCTAGGCCCTCTGATTCACTTCTTAAATGCTTGTAACAGCTAGAGCTGGGGCAGGCTGAAGGCAGGTGCCTGAAACCCCTTCCAGGTCTCTCACATGGATGGCAGGGACCAAAGTACTTGGATCATCACCTGCTGCTTTTCCAGGTGCATTAATAGGAAACTAGATCCACTTAAGTAGAGATGGCTTGGGCGCAAGGTGGTACTCTCACATGGGCTGTGGGATCTTAAGTGGTAATTTACCCACCATTCCCAAAACACAAGCTCTGCAAACCTTTCATAATGATCTAGGTGCCAGTTAAGTCTCTTAATTCTTTGGATTCTGTGTCAGCTGGCCCAAGAGCCCCTGCAGCTCATGTCCTTTTTCCCCTCACTTTCCCACACCAACCCACATCAAGAGGTGCCCCTGTGTGCATGTGGCCATGGACATTCCGGCCAGCACAACTGAACTCTACTCCCCAAGTATCCGAAGCAGCCACCTCTCCACTACTCCCTTGGGCCCCACAGGGCCAGACTGGGCCATGGTGGTGGTGGTGCAAGCCCTGGAAGTGGCCTCAAAGCCTCCAGCACCCCTCCTCCATGTTGGAGGGAAACTTCCAAGAGGAAAATGGGCACAGACTCCACGTGGGCACTGCCAGTGTTTATGTGAATGAAGGCATAGCTGGGACAGGGACAGCTCTCTGGCAGTGTGGAACCCGAGGGGGAGGGGTGCTCTGTGCCTTTCCCATCAGACCACACAGACAAGCATAGAGCTGCTTCAGATCATGTTTATTAGGGGGTTAGGGGTTGGGGGATCTGCGGGATAGGAGGGCAGCCATAGCGGTTGGGCTGGCCAGGATAACCGTGCCCGAGGGGAGTTGTCTGGGTGCAGCTGGGAGCGAGGAGTGCGAGGAGGAGTGCGCTCAGGGTGGCAGGAGGCGACGTGCCGGCGCCTGCGGCGATGCAGGAGTCTCCAACCGTTTCACCCGCAGCAGTGCCCCCAGCACACCCTCAGGGGGTACCTCCGGGTTCACATCCTGGTCAGCAGCCCTTCGGAGCCGCCTAGGGGCCGGCCCAGTCTCAGAGTCAGCGTTTCCAGAGAGGATCCGTCCCAGCAAGTACCTGCGGGGTGGAGTGCAGAGCAGTGAAGGTGTGTATTCACACACCCTAGATTGCCTGGGACACTCGGGCGACTAGAAACTGAGTACCGGGTCTTCCTCCCCAAGCACCGGAAGTTCACTTCCGCTGCGGTCCTCTTAGCCTTGCAGCTTTACCTCTACACCCGCACCTAGGACCTTGCTTCTTTCTAGGGCTCCAAGACCCTTGCTCCTCAAGACTTAGGGGTCTACACACGCACCAGATGCAGGAGGCCACACACACACACACACACACCCATAACAACTTGGTCGCCTCAGTCCTTCGTCCTCCCAAGACGCAGGCGCCCACCCCGTGTCCTGTCACCTCAGAAGCTCAGGATCCACGTCAGGCGTTTCGTCGCCAGCATCTTCGGCATCAGGGCCCGTGGTGCCATCATCGTAGACTGGGGGTCGAGGTCGGAGCGCCGCAGGGGGCACAGGTGCGGGAACAAGCTGGGCGGCGAGGGCTGCAGGGTCCAGGCGAGCGCGGAGCAGGGCGCGGGCAAGCTGCGCTGCAGGCGCGTCGGGGTCGTCGTCCAGGCCGAGGGTCGGGTCAGAGGCACGGGGAGTGCCCCAGATGCGTAGGAGCTGAGCCAGCACTCGCGCCTGCTGATCCTCGGCCTCCTGTGCCTCAGCACGGGCCCGCTCCTGCCGTTCTGCTTCCAGCAGATGCGCCAGCGCCCGCGCCAGCTCCTGCACCGCACCCGCCGCCTCTCCTCGGGGCACTGCTCGCCGAAAGCGGCGGGCAGCTCCAGCTTCAGCCATGGACGATGACGCCGCGCTCAGGGCACGGGGCTCCTGGGCGGGGAGGGGGGAGGAGTGAGGGGGAGAAGGGGAAAGATGAGGTTGGCATTCTTCAAGCCAACAAAGGCATCATGTCCCCACCCCATTGAACAGCCAGGCACTTCGAAGACCATCCAAAATCCCCACACATATCTCCAGACATCCTTAAGACCTCTGGATCCATCCACTTACCCCGACACACTGGCCCTAGTGACTTTCGGAAGAGGTTTGGGCCTCCAGGAGCCCGGGTTTTGGAATGAAAAAACAATCACTTGGCTGGTGACAATTCAGCTAGCAAAAATAATCCCAAAGGGCAATTTGGCAATGTTTGAAAAGATGGCATCACCCCTCCTGGAATGCTACACCCCCAGAGTAGCGTTTGGACCCCAATGAATCACAGATTATGGCGGCGCTGTGCGTAATAGCATGGGGGGAGGCAAGTCTGGAAACAGTCCAATGTGCCCTCACAGAATAAGGATGGTTAGATGAATCATGAGAGAAGATAGAATCTTACGCAGCTGTAAAACGAAATGGATTATAGCCAGGCATTTCAACATGGATGAATCTCACCACCCAAGGCTGAAGTGGGGGGCGGGGAGGAAGGAGGAGGCAAGTTCCAGAAAGCTACTGTGAACTGCCTGAGACTACCAAATACCCCGAGGACCTCCCAGTGACCCCTAAAGGCCACCAGGAGCCAGATGCCCAGTATCATTCCATTTCCATAGTGCTCCAAAACAAGAGTGACAAAACCATAGATTCTGTAGCAGTGTAAGCATAGGTGATAAGGGACAAAGAAAAGTATAGGGCCAAGGGACTGAAAGCATAGGATCATGGGGAGGGGTTCCAGGGGCTTTAATTGATCATGTTCTATTTCTTAAGATGAACAGGAGACACATGGGGGAGTCCTTTCATTATGATTTTGCACATAGTTCACTTGTGTCAGAGGCACTAATGTATAAGTATGATATGGAAATTTTGTCAAAGTTTCTATCCTTGATGCAGACAGCTAGCTGCTCCAACTGTCCCTTCTGCCCCCAAGGGAGCCACACTGTCACCAGTAATTACAACCTCACACACACGAACAAACTGAGAGGCCTTACTATGTCACAGATTATCTACAAGGCACATCCCACACACTAAAGGAATTGCAATGGGCGTTAACAGCGGCACATGCAGTTACACTGTCCATGGTCCTGGAACGCAAACCCCGGCGCCACCTTCCCGACACTAGGCAACGCGGAGACATCATGGCTCCCCTCCCCCACGATGACACAGCTCCACAATGAAACAGAGGGCTGGTTTTGGGAGCCCACGCATCCACTCGCGGGCACGCATTCCCACAGAAGCAACGAGAAGGTGCACACGAAGATGCAAAGACCCCTCCCTCCTGAAACCAAAGGAGATGGTACAGAAACAGAAAGGCACTGAAACAGAAAGACACGCCCATGGACCACGCCAACACTCAGAAGCAGTCACAAACATAGGCGTGGTGACAGACAGTCCATCGGGCCTGCAGAAAAGTCATACACACACACATACACATAAGCACCTCCCCCAAGTGCGACACACACACACACACACAATGTCAACTTTGGAGGATGCTCTGCAGCGGTCAAATCAAAGGACACACTTCCAAGGACACATCACGCATGAACACACTAATGCGCAGACACCCTTCCTCAATACTCCCTGGTGCCATGGACAACGCCACGGACCCCGCGCGGGGAGAAGCCTGGCTTGGCCTGGAGATCCAACAGGGGTTGGGGGTGGTGGCAGGGTGTGGCTGCCAGCCCAGCCTAGGGCAAGATCAAGCTCCATCTAGGATGCTCCGACCCTGCCAGAGCGCAGACTGGTAGCTGGAGCTCCGGTCATGCTTGTCCCCGGTCATGCACGTCCCCGGAGCTGGCTCCGGGTGGGAACACAGTCCTGACCCTCGCCCACAACCTGCTGACCCGCAGCATCTTTTCCCCACCCCATACTACCCAACCGAGACTTGGCGGGGGGGTAGGGGGGGTCTCACCTTGACCGGCCTCGCGCAGAGAGCACAGGGCGGCCGAAGAAGCCCCAGCAGCAACAGCAGCAGCAAGAGGCCGACGCCCCCGGCCCGCGGCCCGCGGAGCAGCGGCGACCCCGCCATGCTGCCCCAGCGAGCCGGGCTCCGGACGGGCGGACTGGCGAGCAAGTGCGCAGCGCTGGGGCTAGCGGGCAAGGCTGCAATACTCTGCGGCTGCGCAGGCTCAGGAGCCGCCCCCTTCCATCCCCTCCTCCCTCTTCATTCCCTCCCTCCATTCTACGCAGGCGCAGCCTGGGGGCTCCAGCAGCCCCTCCACCTGGCTGGTCTCCATGGAGATGCCCAGGGGCAAGGTGGAGAGCCCGTGCCTGCACTGGCGGTTGTCATGGTAGTCGGAGGGCAGTTGCCGGAGCAACAGACATTGCTGCTGGCTTTGCAGGCGGGTAGAGAAAATTGACTTCAGTGGAGCGGACTAGGGGGTCTGGCTCACCATCTCTCCCTCTTGTGGGAGGAGATGGACTTCATTTTATTCACTGGTTAGAGAGTTACGATTGCCTGTTGAGAGCAAGGCTCTTACTAGAGAGATGGATTAGATCCAGATGATGTCACCGTGAACAGTTTTCCATTCTAAGGTGAACTATCTAAGAGGTTGACCAGTAACCACAAGCTCACACTGGCATTATAAAGGAGTTAATTAGGATGACATTTGGTAGGAGCTCAGTAAATGTTGGAATGCCTGTATCCAACTCGGAGTCCCTTGGCTCCAGCTCTGGCTCTGGTTTCTGGCCCCACCTTCGGCTGACTGGCTGATGCACATTCTGGGAAGCAGCAGATGATGGGTGAAGGACTCAAATCCCTGTAACCCATGTGGGAGACCCGGATGGAGTTCCTGCCTCCTGGCCTAGCAGGCTTGGGTATTTGAACAGTGAACCAGCAAATATAAGTTCTCTGTCTGTCAAATAAACTGAAAATATAAACGAAACAGTTGACTTATTTTACATGAAGAAAAGAAACCCTTATGTATGTTACTGTGGGTGGATCTAATCAACTGATGTTACTCACCTCCATCTTTCAATGATTGTAAATAAGTTTACCAAAGGGCTGGTGTTGTGAAACAGCAGGCAGAGCTACCTATTTTGTTTCTTTATTTTTAAATATTTATTTATTTATTTATTTGAAAGCAGAGTTAAAGAAAAGCAGAGAGAGATCTTCCATTTGCTGGCTCACACCACAAATAGATACAACAGCTAGTGTTGGGCTGGGGTGAAGCCAGGAGCCTGGAACTCGATCCAGGTCTCCAGTGGGTCTCCAAGGATTTGGTCATCTTCTGCTACCTTCCCAGATGTATCAGTAGGGAGCTGGATTGGAAGTGGAGCAGCTGGGACACAAACAGGAGATGCAGCCATTGTGCGGGGCTGCTCAATCTGCTGTGCCACAATACTGGCCCCATGAGCCACCTCTTCGAACACCAACATCCCTTGTCAGAGTGTCACTTACATTCCTGGTTGCTCCACTTCCAAGTCACCTTCCTGCTAATGTACTCAGGAAGGCACAAGATAATGGTGCCAGGAACCCAGATTGAATTCTAGGCTCCTGGCTTCAGCCTGGCCCACACCTGGCTACTGTGGTCATTTGGGCAGTGAACTAGCAGTTTGATGACCTGTCTCCTCTCTCTCTGACGCTCTTATTTTCAAATAAATAATTTTTTGAGAAATCAAATAACTTTGCAATACACAGCCTTATATGCATTCTCTCTTGCAGACCTGGAAATTATACACCCAGCAGTGTGTAATGGGCATGTCCTGAGGATGGTTCTCATGCCACCTGCTGCCTCCTGGTGTTCACAGTCCTGAGTGTGCCTAACCCAAGGGGCTAGGCTGCATGTGAACACATGTATGTGATTGACATGATTATCTTGTGAGTGCACTCTCACTCCCATACTCTGTTTGAGGCAGCGGGTGGTCAGTTGGGGAATATATTTTTTAACAATATGAAATTTTTAAATTCATTCAACAGTAAGGGTTTATTTTTAAGATATATTTATTTGAAAGACAGAGAGAGAAGAGAGGTCTTCCATCTGTTGGTTCACCCCTGTAAATGACCACAACAGCCAAAGCTGGGCCAGCCTGCAGCCAGGACCTTCTTCCAGGTCTTCTAGTGCATAACCCAAGTACCTACTAGTTCATCTTCTGCTGCTTTGGCAGGCACATTAGCATGGAACTGGATCAGAAGTGGAGCAGCTGGGACTCGAACTGGTGCTCACATGGGATCTAGGTGCCAGAGGCAGCACTGCCTGCTATGCTGGTTCCCAGTTGGGAATCTTACGTGGCAAGGACTAGAAGCTGACCTCTAGGAACTGAGGGTGGCTCACCTGACATCCAGCAAGAAGTTTATGCCCTCAGTCCTGAAACAACAAAGAACTCCCCAGCTGGAGGCAACTGCCTAGGTTGTCTTGTCCCTATATATATAAAGATATGTAGGGAAAGTGGGGAATACCAGGCTGGCACATGCTTGCCACCCTGGCCCCAACATAGAGGGCTACAGATTGCCAGGGGAAGAGGGGCTGGGGATGCGTAGGAGTGAGAGCGGCTGAGAGCATGTTTGACAAGGAAGGAATGACTTCTGGGGTCTTCCACAGACTGGGCCACTGCACTTGCAGGTGGATAATGGAGCCAAGACAGAATGGTTTAGAGGAGAGAAACCAGAGGGCATGTCTGGGTAAGGCCAAGGCATGCATTCATGTAGGAGACCTGGGCTGGGCTAAGTAACATCGCCACCATCCACATGAAAGCTGGGGCATACCTGGATGGGCGAGGTGGAAGTACCTACCCTCGAATGTCAGAGCAGGGAGCGGGCCACATCAGGCTGGGCTACAGCACACACAGAAAAAAACAAGAGAACTAGATCTGGGAGCATAATCTGTAGGGGAATTGTGGGCTTACCTCTGAGGGACTACAGCACCCACTGGTTTCTGCAAGAACTGGATATGGCAGCCTAGTGGCTAAAGTTCTTGCTGTGAACACACCAGAATCCCATATGGGTGCTGGTTCTAATCCCAGTGGCCCCACTTCCCATCCAGCTCCCTGCTTGTGCCCTGGGAAAGCAGTCAAGGACGCCCCGAAGCTTGGGCTACATGTGTGGGAGAGCTAGAAGAATCCCCTGGCTCCTGGCTTCGGATTGGCTCAGCACCAGCCATTGCGGTCACTTGGGGATTGAAACAACGGATGGAACATCTTCCTCTCAGTCTCTCCTCCTTTCTGTATATCTGACTTTGCAATAACAATAAATAAATCTTTTTTTTTTTTTTAAAGAACTGGATGTGTTGATGGGGACAGACCGTGCTGGGCCAGGTGTAGTACCTGCTGGCATGCACAAGAGCCAGCACAGGGTGTGGGGTGCCCCTGGCTAGGTTAGGCTGCAACACACACCAATGAAAGCTGAGACAGCAAGCGGTCCATGCCAGGCTGGGTCAAAGCTCTTGCCAGCACATGTAAGAACTAGTACTGGGAATAGGCCTGGTAGGGAAGCTTGGGGAACTGTCCTGCTAAACTGCAACTCCCGCTGGTGAGTGTGAGAGCCAGGACTGAGGGGCGTATGTTGGGCCTGATCTGGAGTAGGCTGGGCTGAGCCAGTCCACAACACACACAGGCATAGATGGGGTGCAGGCCAACATGGGTTGGACTGCAATACATGCAAGTTCACATGAGGACTGGAGCTGGGAGTAGACGAGGCTCAGTCAGGCTGTAGCACCTGCTGGCAAATGCCATGAATGGGGGGCAGGCTACCTTAGACTGTGCTGCAGTACCTGCTGGCACGTGCAAGACCTGGAGATGGGAGTGGTTCAACTGGCCAATCTTCTACCTGAAAGTGCCAGCATCCCATATGGCATCCCATTCATGTCCTGGCTGCTCCACTTCCAATCCAGCTCCCAGATAATGGCTTGGGAGAACAACAGATGACCCAAATGCTTGTTCCCTGCCACTCATGTGGGAGACACAGGTGAAGTTCCAGGATGCTGGCTTTGGTCTTGCCCAACCCTGGCTGTTGCACACATTTCAGAAGTGAAGCCAAAGGGATGTATAGTAACTGTGTAATGGAGACTGTCGTATCCAGATGTGAGGATACAATGCAGTATGCCTCTCTATTTCCAGATCAAAGATGGATTCTCAATGAAACTGTTAACTATACCTTGACAGTAGGATGCTGGACCTTGTGCCATTGTTCATGCCCGCAGTGATGGGCATGGGACTGTATGAAGAACTGTACTGTAGTGATGATATGGTGGAATTCAGTGGGGGGAGGAGACTTGCAGAGGGGGGTAAGGGAAATCCCAAGGCCTATGGAATTGTATCATAAAATGTTAATAATTTAAAAAAAGAGGGGAAAAAAGAAATAACTAAGTTTGTAAAATGCATTCATTTATTTGGAAGGCAGACTGAGACAGAGAGACAAAGGGTCTTTGTTCCCTGCCACAGACATGGGAGACCAGAATGAGTTCCAGACACTGGCTTATGCCTAGCCCAGCCCCAGCTAATTGTTAGCAATTCAGGAGTGATCCAGGCAATGGAAGAACACTCTCTCTCACTCTTGCTCTTGCTCTCGACTCTGTGTGTGTATCTGTCTTTAAAAAAAGGTATCTGATTTCCAGATGTGTAAGACGAAAATTTTAAAAATTAAACAAACAAAAAAGATTTTGGGTCTGGCACAGTAGCCTCATAGCTAAATCCTCACCTTGCACATGCAAGAATCCCATATGTGCACCAGTTCTAATCCTGGCAGTCCAGCTCCCTGCTTGTGGCCTGGGAAAGCAGTCGAAGATGGGCCAAAGTCTTGGGACATTGCACCCATGTGGGAGATCCGGAAGAAGTTCCTGGTTCCTGGCTTCTAGTCAAACTCAGCTCCCAGCATTGCGACCACTTGGGGAGTGAAGCAGCGGATGTCTCTCCTGTCCGTAGATCTGGGACACCTCCCGGTGCCTATGTGGGATTCCAGTGCTTGCAGGGTGCTCCGGCCAGCAGAGCCAGTAACGTGGACACAGTGAGGATCTGGGGATGAAATCAGTTATGCCCCTGCAAAATTCCTAAATTCTAAACTTACCTTCATGGGTCCAGGGGTCCCTCAGATTATCCCTCATGCCGTGCCCCACGTTGGGTGCCATT